CCGGAGCAATTCTTGAAGAAGAATCCAGGCGAAGGAACAAAGAAGACATGCTGGAAAGTTCAAAGCAAACACAAGCTTTGGTGATGATGAGAGGAAAATCAATGAAATATGGGTCTAGTGGGAGTCAGTCCCATGATATATCTCAAAGTAAGAAGCATCTCAAATGCTACAATTGTGGTAAGAGGGGGCATGTCAAGAAAGAATGTTGGCACGGGAAGAGTGGAAGAAAGAACTCTGAGGCATCAACCTCACAAGGTTGTATGGCAAATACCTCAGAGGATGAAAATATTCTGTGAGAAAGAAGGGAGGTCTGGTAAGTCATAAAAGCTCAGAAGATCATGGCATATGCTTATGGGAGATACGTTGCAAAAGGCTAATGCAATGGTTACATCGACAAGTCAAGAAGAAGCGGTGTTGACGTGACATCGTACTTGTACAAATGTCAGAGTGAAGTTTGCAAGGCAGAACTTAATCTGTACCCGGGCTTAAACATAGATCGAGGTTTACTAGTTTGACTACCAGAAAAGAAAACACAAGAAGACTTGGTTCATTTTGATGTAAGGGAATCACCGGAGTCATTCCTAGGAGAAGCAAAGTTTATTCCAGGAGTTCGAGTGTATTACATCAAGAGGAAGTCAAATGTGTTGTTACCAGTTCAAGGAAACTAAAGTACAAGCTTGAAACTGGGGAAAGAATTAAGTGCTTGGATATGCTAATAATGTGAAGGGGTATTGCTTGTGAGTTTCACCGTTCACAAGGTTATTGTTAAGCAGGAATAAAATGATGCTCCAACCAGAAGGCTTTGAAGAACAAGAAAACTTGGTTTGTAGGTTGAACAATGGCTAGGGAGTTTGATATGAATGACTTGGAACCGACAAACAAGATTTTAGGGATGCAAATTCACCGAGACAGAAAAAGATAGGAAGATTTGGCTTTCTCAGAAGTAAAACTTACTGAAAGTCTTGCGGCGCTTCAACATGCAAGAGTGCAAGCCAGTTTTACCCCATCTCCTATCAATCATCCTCAAGTATGAGTCCTAGCAATGAAGCGGAGAGGATGGAGAAGTCTCGAGTACCGTATGCATCAGTGGTGGACAGCCTTGTAATTGCTATGATGTGTACAAGACCTAGACATTGCACAAGCAGTGGGAATGGTTAGTATGTTCGTAGTAGGTTTTGGTGGAGAGCAGTGAAATATTGATCGGGTGTTGCATTGCGTTTCAGAGATTCGATTCTACTGAAAGTTTAACGAGCAACATGAAGGCAAAAATGGTGTGAAGATTTGATTAGTTTCATCAAAATCTTCAAGTGGGAGATTGTGAAGAATGAAGTCCCACATTGGTGGGAACTTCTAAAGTGGTATGGCAAGGTGGTTATAAAATAAACCCCTTGCCCCCTTTGTAACACATCCCATTCTCTCATGTTCTCTCCTTTCTTGTATTCTCATAATTTTGAGAAGTTTTGATAGGAAGAGAGAGGTGTTGTAAATTTCTTCCATTAGTATAAAATTTTCATTTTGTCTATCATCGGTATTTTTTCTCTTTCTCTATTTTAGTTGTGTGTGCTTGTGCTGTATCACTGATACCCAACACTCTCTATATTATAACTATTTAATTTACGAAATAAGCATTTTAAAATTTAAATATTGTAAAATTTATTTTCATCGCGAACAATATTACAAATTAAGCAATCATTTCATTTTTTTTAAATTAATTAAATGATAAAGTGTATTTAGTCTATTAATTTTCCGGGAATTTGAAATTCATCCATTTATATCAAACTTTGGTAATATTAAAAAATAATAAATAGTATTCTTAACTTAACCATATTTTTTTTAAAGTTAAGCGATTGATTTATTTATCAATTATTTTCTTATATATTTCATGTAGAGTTTAAATTATTTACACATTCCAGTTAAAAATAATTGTTTAATATCTAAAATAAAATTAATGTAATTGAAATAAAAAAATTATATTTATTTATTTTTAAAAAGTATGAAATTTTAATTTTGTGAACAAATTTATAACTATAAATATATTTAAATTTAAATCATCAAGTGGTCTTTGTATTTGTTTCAAAATTTCAATTTGATTATCAGATTTTGAATAATTACAATTCAGTCATTTTCGTTAATTTTATTGAAACGGACTTGAAGGAGCTATAATAGTCCATGAATTACGATATTACTAAAATGGCTGCTATTATGCTTTGTATTCTTCTATGAATTTGAATGATTGTAATTTTTTTTGTTACTACTATTATTTGATGCACACAAGAAATTGTGGAATTACTTGCCAAGTAACTGGTTGACCGTTATAATGTATATAAATTAATAATATTTAGTCATGATTTAATTCTAAATTTTTTCATAATAATGCATTCATTAATTAAAATATCTTAAATCATACATTTTTAATAATAATACAATAGTATCATTTTAAAAAATACATTATGCCCTATTTTCGTTTTTAACCAACATCCTAATTTTTTTTTAAATATATTTTTCGTCCCTTAAGTATCACACGACTTTGGGTTTAGTCTCTACTCAAAACTTTTGTTTTTTTAATCCTTTTAGTTTTAAAACTCGTATTTTTAGTCCCTAAAAAGCAACGACGTTAGATTTCGCTAACGGCGAGCCACGTCAGATGTCACTTTCCTTGATAACTTTGTGCCATTTTTTTTTCTTTTTCTCTCTTTTACTATTCTTTTTGCTAAGAACCCTACTTATTTTCAAACATAAAAAATCCCTTATCTGATTTCATAAATGATTGAAGACAGGTTCGCATAAAAGTGCTTGATTGAAGACATACACGATTTGCGCGAAGTTGAACGGAGAAGACAAAGAAGCATCGAGAGATGGATGTTGCTTCGCACAGGTTGCTCAGGCGTAATGGCTTGGACGGAGGTTGAAGGAGATGAGGGAGGCGTTTAATGCTTCCATGGTGCGATTAAGACGAAGGAGATTCTCTGAATGGTGGCGCAAAGGAGGAAGATGCCTCGCGAGTTAGGGTTTCACGATTTGGATTGTTAATTTCTGGAATTTGCTATTTAGGTGCGAAGGTGTGAAAAAGATGAGATGACGTGCGATTTCGCGAGTGTAATTTGGGGTTTTATTGTTTCTTTGCATTCGATTGGATTTTTCTTCTGCAGATTTCCATGTTGATTTTGATTTAGTGAAGAAGATTAGTGTAGGGAGATTGTTGTGATTACCCTTTTTTAGGAGTTGTCCATGGTGGACTCATGGTGATGGCCATGGAAGTAATTGAATCGCGAGGGAATTAAGAAGGGGCAGAAATTGAATCATGAGTAGAACTAATGTATTCAGAATTTGAACTTGTGCTTTTTTTAATATCTGAACCTGATGAGTTTGTTGTTATCTCGTGGGAGAGGGAGAGATGGGTGTTGTTGTTGTTGTTGGACTTTTGATTTTTGCTAAGAACCCTAATTATTTTCAAATATAAAAAAGCCCTAATCTGATTTCGTAAATCAAAACATACGTGGTACATCACTTAAATCTGATTTCAAAAAATAAAAGCAATGTGGCACACAAATGGTATAACACTGACTTGTTGTTAGCCACCTCACAAGGAAATCTAACACAGTTACTTTTTAAGGACTAAAAATACGAGTTTTAAAACTAAAATGACTAAAATGAACAAAAGTTTCGAGTAAGGACTAAACCCAAAATCGTGGGATACTTAAGGGACAAAAAACATATTTAACCCTAATCGTTTTTAGGTATAATACCTATTTTGGTCCCAATTTTGGTTGAGAATGTTTGAAATGGTCCCAATTTTTTTTTGGTGTTCAATGTTGTCCTAAATAATGTAATTTATGTTCAATTTAGTCATTTTTGCAGACGACGTTTAAATTGTTGATGGTCAGATGTTCAATAAATGACACATCACCCTTGACACATCATCATCTCCTACCTCCAGAAGTCCTAATTTCCGCTACACATAAACCCTAGCCACCACCTAACCCTAACCGTCGCTGCCACGGTCACGACCAACCACCATCTTCGCACCTCCATCATCTTCTCCACCACCTAAGCCCTAATTGTTGAAAATGTATTTCTCATTAGGGTCTCAACTCGCTAGACCACCATCTTCGTGCATCATCTTCCTCGCGCTTCCAAAACCGTAGGCTACCACCACCGCTGCGCAGCAAAGCCCATTTCAGGTAGTCGCTGCCGTAACAATTGTGCCACTCAACGTGAGAACTTGTAACCACCACATCTCCATCCGCAACAAATCACGAGTCTTCCTCCTCTAGCACCAACCTAAATCATGAGTTTCGTACAACATTCATAGCCAATAGTGGAATCTCCATGGCCACCGCTACTACTACCGCTCTCCCTTCTTGAACGCGTCGCCGCGACACACACCTCCATCATCCTCGCCAACCCCAAACCTGCAAACCACAAGAACTAGAAATCTGCCACAACACACACCTTCATCACCTCCACCGTTCGGTAACCTCACCCCTTCAGCCGTTCGGTTCCCTTCTTCTTCTCCCTCACTGCTTGGCCTCTGCATTCCAAGTCACAACGCTACAAAGGACTCCACGTAAGCCAATACATGACATTTCACTCTATAATTGCACATCTAGACATCTGGCCGTTAACGATTTAAACGACGTTTGCAAAATGGACCAAATTGAACACAAATTACATTCTTTAGGACTATATTAAAAAGCAAAAAAAATTGGGACCATTAAAATTGATACCAAAATAGGTATTGTACTTTTTTTTACTGTTCATTTAATTTTTAAAAGTATATTTCAAAACCTTTAGATTATTCAAAGCAAAATTATTAAAGCTTGTCTTCTCATATATTTTAAATTCAAGTTCCATAATTCTTTTAACACACACATTTTAAAAATAATAAGTATTAAACAATTAACACTTAGAAAGAGATGTTATTGGGGTTAATTCTTTTATATTTTAAAAAAAGTTGAAAATGTTGTGATAAGGACTAGTTTGCAATTTAATATTTCTCCACTGCTCCAAAATCGTCTTCCATATTCTATTTTTCTGTTTCTGCCATCTCCAATTCCAATCCATGTTTGCTTCGGTGAGCAACAGCAGCATCAATATTTTACGCCGCTGCGGTCTCCTCCGTCCACGTGTCCTCACTGTTGGATTTTGCTCTCTCCTGCACAGGTTCGGTGCTTCATCTCCGATGGACAATGGCAGCAATAACTACTTTTCCTCTTACGCTCACGCCTCTCCCAGGTAATTTCTCGTATCTCCTTCTCCTTCCTCCAAACTCACCAATTTCTCGTTTCTCTTTTTGGAATATGGTATAATTGTTTGTTAGTAGTAAAGGAGTTAGTTTTTCATTTTAATTAGCAATTATATAAGAACATAATTGCTGCTGTTGTAGGTGTGATAATGGATTTCATTCAGACTCTTCTTTGTATTATCTTCTTCTGGAATAAAATTCAGTTCGGATTATTTTGGCCCAAATCCCCTACGTCTTAGAATTGGGATTCTTGGAATTACTTTCTTTATATCAGAATGCCTATGTTCAAATGCTGTGAATTTCGAAGGATTTGTTCGGTTTAGGGAATGTGATTGTGAATCGAAGGCTTAGATGATGTTATCGATGTAGCTACGTGCAATGGGAAGCTACGTCGTTTTTCATATTTGGAATTACGGTTATATCATTATATTGGAGATTGCCATCGTTTTGTTGTGGGTGAATTATTGTGATTGAACATTTTGATGTTTTTCACTACTCAAGGAGATGAAATAGAGACGTTTTGTTGGCTTTACATGGTTGGTGATTCAATGCTTCTGTTGGACAATGATACAGTTATCTTGAAGTATTCTTTTCTAGTGTACTAAACTCTTGAGGATTGAAGCTTAAGATGTGCAGTTTCATTGGTCTGTATACATCAACTTTTGCTTGTGATTATAGGATTGTAGCTCTTATTTCATGGAAATGGGTTTGACGTAACAAAAGCTACTTTGGGAGCGTGCTCCTTCCTATGGCTGGACTATCGTAACTTTGACCTTGAGGACAAGGTATTTTATTTTTCTTAATGGGGGAGGTGAGGTAATGTAGTGATTGTTGAGTCTTATGCTGAATTTTTCTAGTTGGTTATAAGGACAAGTGTTGATTGTAGCTGAAAACAAGGGAATTGGATTGGATTTGGAGGAGGAACTGCCGATCAAAAGAATTTAAGGCATGTAAAACTGTAAAACGAGAAGGAAGCCAAGGAATCAATTAGTATTCCTTCTAAGGGCTGTACTAGTCTTCCTCTTTACTTTAGATTTCTATCCCTACATCTCTCCTTCAAAGTTTTAATTAGCTTCATTATAATTCTTTTTTAATTTTTGTATTTTTGACTGTATCTCCTTCAATGTAATGGAATTCCTACTTCATTGTTGTGGTTCAAGACTATGAATAAGTTTCTGTCATAGATTGCTTTACATTATGTACACTTATCAATTCACTCAGTAGCTACCATCATGGAATCAATCAGGAGGTTTTACGCTTTTTGATATTTATGTTCAATTCTGGCAGTGGCCGTGGAAAGGCTTTTGATATGAAAAATGATAGAGAAAAAACAAGAGGGCGTGGTGGTGGAAGTGGCTCAGGAAAGGACAAAATTGACGCCCTTGGTAGGCTCCTGTAAGCATTACTTCTCTCTAATGATTTTTTATTTTTCATAAACATTGCCTTTATTTCCTTCCTTCATGGCTGCCAAATGTGACTTTCATCAGTTGTTGTGTTTTTGTTTTTTGTATGAAATATCCAGTGGCATTGTTATTCTTTTTCTGTGTGGAAAGAAGTTTGGGAAAAATACGGAATTTGTTTGTCTCAGATTTCAGCAACAGAGCCAATGAGCTTTGTGATATATCTTAATTAAGCTGTTTTTTGCTTTATTCTTCTAGGAAGTAAATACTCTCAATTTATCTCTGTTGAATATGTGCAGGACACGAATTTTGCGACATATGGCATCTGAATTGAATTTGAATATGCGAAATGATGGTTTTGTGAAAGTTAATGATTTGCTAAAGCTGAATATGAAGACTTTTGGTAATATTCCATTGAGATCACACACTGTTGATGATATTAAGGAGGTCAATTATTTTCATATACTTCTCTGTTTCAGCACGTGTTCATTCCATTTTTATTGTGCCTTGTCAATACGTTTATCTTGTAATTAGATTCTTGAGTCACATTATCTAAGAAGCATATGGGTGAAAATATAAAGGATATAAGATTGTCATATTGTTGATAATAGATGAACTCTTCAATTTTTATTCTTATGAAGCATGGAAGATCACTTCATTGTATTGTGTGTTAAAGATAAATTCCTTGTATTTATGTAGAATTTTAGAGGATTGATATTTGTCTTTCTCTTGTAAAAGCAGTCAGAATATGGCTAACAGCTTAAGAATGTACCTGATCCAGCATTTCTGCTTTCAGCAACTAATTCTGCTATAAGTTAATAATTTAGGAAATTGACTAGGAACATTAGCAGGGTATTTTTGTGTCTTGCAAAGAATTTACATGTTGATTATATTAGTGGTTTTGACCTACTCTTAAATTTTAACTTAATTTTTAGTACTGTACGTGGCTTTTGTTGCCTTTGAATGACTATTTATGCTTATATAACCTTTTTTTGTCTAAGTTATACTTATTTGTATTTGGTTTTATTTTTTTCATTCTTGTAAACAACTTGTTGTAACTCCATATTATCATATTGTGAATTAACTGAAAGAAAAACATTTTATTCTAAAATATCTTTTGGTTACTCTCTTAGGCTGTTCGAAGAGACAATAAGCAACGGTTTAGCCTCATGGAAGAGAACGGGGAACTATTAATACGTGCAAACCAAGGCCACACAGTAACGGTAGCGTATTCCTCTTTATCAAGTGATGAAAACTTCATGTATCCAATTTACTTTTGAAGTGTTGAAGAAATAATAGAACGTCAATTCTATACTCTGGAATGCAACATGTTGTTATGGATCTAATTTCCTGTTAAAATTTTCTTTTGCCATTGTCATGTTAAGATGCCAATTAAAAACTCAACAATGCTTACTGTCTCGTGTTGTACTCACTTTCCTTTGTCAACTTCCTGAGTTTTTTGTTTTCTTTATAAGAATGCGAATATGACTTTCATTATATATTCATTTCTTTCATGGTTAAATGAAGTTCAAAGCACTTTAGATACAAATTACACTATTGTTCCTCAGTTCTGAAAATAACACATTTGTCATGTGAGTTTTTTCCTTTTATGCCTTTAGACCGTACAGTGGAGCTAGGCATGTGAACATAATCGAACAGGACAGTCTGTTTTATTCTATTCACTTTTCTAACCTTATGTTCTGTTCTCATTTTAAACTATACCAGACATAGAACAGAATTCGTATATTATGCTTTTTCCTGTTCCAACCTGTTTAAACAATGCCTTAAGGTTGATGGAGATATAATAAAACCAAAAGGTTTAAACAGAACAAACATTAGATGGAATCGGGATTGTAGCAGCTAGTATTCTATCTTGAAAGCCAAGAAATATTTATAAAAAGTATTATCAGTGTTTTATATTGTTAATGAGCTAAACCTTTTTTAACCCTGGGCTGCATATTCTCTTAAAATATCTTTAAAATTTCCAGTCAAGTGACAGGAAAAAATTATGCCTGTAATGTTGTCCCCAGCCTTGTCAAATTCTGTTGCTTGCCTTTTGCTCTTAAGCATGTGTCACTAATACTTTTTCTGTTTCCATTTTTTTAGCAGTTAAAAATAGTAAAATAATGTTGAACTTTTGAATCTTGAATTCATTTAACTTTGTCCATCTGCCCTTACAATTATTGACTTTTCATCTGCAGACTGTTGAAACCGAAAGCTTATTGAAACCAATCCTTTCAGCCGAAGAAGTTCCAGGTGCATAATCATTAGATTTGGAATTTTTTAACTAGACTCGAGCTATGATGAACGCTGTACATAGCAACACACTAATTTCTGAATGTTATGATGCTATGTACATATTTATAATTTAAGTTTATCTCTTTAATGGTGGATATGTTACAAACTTAATGTCTTCCAACAACCTGATATTATATTAACACAATTTTAATTACTTAAGATCTCTACATCTGCCTTTTCAACTCATTCTGTGAATTTTTTTTCTGTATTTATATTTTATTTGTTTCATTTACTTGATTTTGTTGTATGCAGTTTGTGTCCATGGAACCTACAGAAAGAACTTGGAATCAATTCTAGGATCTGGGCTGAAGCGCATGAAAAGATTGCATGTTCATTTCTCTTGTGGTTTACCAATAGATGGAGAAGTAATTAGTGGTAACGTGATATACTATTTAAAATGAATCCTATTTAAATATTGTAGTTTACATTTTGATATTTTTGTTTAAAATTTTAGCTAGGCAAGTTAATTTTCCTTTAGGGGAATATTAAGGATGAAATGAGTGACAATGGATATCTCTGTTTTTGTTGATAATGTATCTTTGACCAAATGTGGAATCCAAACGACCAATTTAAAGTTTTCCTTTTATCATCTTTATTCAAGAGTTTTCACCAAGGCTAGGGTAGTAGAAATGCTAAAATCCTACTCATAAAAGGGATTCATATAATAATTAGCCCAACATCCAAAGTTATATGGGATTACCTAAATCTTTTGGTAAGCTTGGAAGAAAAATATTCGTATACTTTTATACTCCATTAGTAACTAGTTATTTCTCTGCAAATGATTAACCATATTAATATTATAAATGGTTGTTTTAATATAGTGAAACAATACATGTCTCAGAAGTACCATTAATGATCACAGCTTGGATCTAGTTGCATCTTTTAAGCCTTTCACAACTTATCGTCGATTGGAGGGTGGAGACCTTTGAACTGGAAGTCTCTTTGGTAGATGGCAGTGGGGCCTCAAACTAAAGTTTATGAGAGAAAGAAGAAAAGGGTTAAGAAGAGTATAATTGGGAAGGAGAATTTTGTTAGTGAAGGAGTGGAGGGGGCTAAATGGGAAGCTGTCATGAGGGGATTGGAGAGGCAGAGCTGGGGAATCATGGAGTGGACATGGTTATGAGGGGGCCAGGGAGTGAGGGGTATCACTGTAGGGTGATTGTTGTCACTCTGCAGAAAACATCCTTTTGAGTACTTTTTCTTTTTGCAGTTTCTATTGCTTCTTATGGTAATTGGAGTGTAATCAAGGCTAGTTCCTTGAGTTTCAGTTCCTATCACTCCTCTTGGTTGAGATGGGAATTATTATGTTCTGTCATCCCTATCGTCCTATGAAATTAGTTTAGCATATGAAAGCACTAATCTTTAGTAGTTTCAGCTATTTCCTTAGAAGCATTAGGCTCTAACAGTTTGGCACTTAGACTTGCTTCCTCACTGTTCCAATTACTCATCTTTTTCCCAGGTATGAGGCGAGATGTCAATGTTCTTATCTTTATTGACGTCAGAAAAGCATTGGAGGGTATGATAAGACAATATTCCAAACAATGTGTTCTTCATGCGAACAACCTCATCTTGAAATGTTAATTTCTTTGTTGTTTGATGATGGTAAGTAAAAGACTACTGATTGCTTCTTTGTATGTTTTTTATCCTATTTCAGAAGGTATGAAGCTTTACATTTCTGACAACAAGGTAATCTTGACGGAAGGTTTTGATGGCGTTGTTCCTCCCAAATTTTTTGATAAGATAGAATCATGGCCTAGCAGACAGCCTATTCCCTTTTGAAACTCTCAGAATCATAGGAAATTGAGGATTATTATATATGATTGTGCAAACCTCTTACAAGAATTACTATTGGCTTCTTGTTTCTTTTGCCTACTTAGAGAATTCAATTACGTTACTTTGGATAATTGAGTTATTATTCATATATCTAGAGATAGCTTTTATGTACCATTATCATTTATATCTTGTTGACTTCTAATCATTTATAGTTATTTGAAAATTATAGGAGTTACATTTCCAATGACTAAATACTAAAATTATTTAGTTTTTGAGTATTACAGTTTAGGTATATTTGTTTGTTGCATTACATAAATTTTTTCTCGTGTTAAATAATGTGTAACTAAATGAGTGATATATTTTTTTTAATTTAATTGGGATGCATTGACAGAATCTCTATCAGCGAAAACAAAAAAAGGTGCGTTGATAATGTAAAGAATTTTTATATCATTATTTTTTCATGGATGATAATAATAAGATTAATTTTTAAAATAATTCTCTTAAAAAATTCATATAATTTTGTTTAATAAAATTTACAACTCAAAAATATAGAGTGGAAATGTATCAAAATTTAACTATTTTTAAGTGTATATTTCACAAATTATTTACCACGAGGTCATGTAAACATATTTCTGCGGCCATTTTCATACTTGGTTTACAATGTATTACAGGAAAGAGTAATCTATTTTATTTGTAATCAGTTATTTAACATATCAAAAAGATCAATTTCATCAATTATTTATTATGTTATCACATAAGGGTAGGATAATCAACACATTAGTTGTTTGATAACCTTATTATCAATTTATATTTCTCAAATTTTTGAAGTAGTTTGTTAAAGAAAAACACTTGTGTAAGTATTGAAGTGAATAAGCTAAATTTTAATTTTAATTAATCATGGTTTTTTTATTTAATTATATAAATATTTCAAAAAATTCATGCAATATTAATTTGCCTCAAATTTGACACAAATTTCAAAAATAAATTCACAAAATATTCTGTAATTTCTTAATTCTAAATTTGAGTATGTTATAAAAGGTCAGAATTTAGTAAATACAACAATTACTGAAAATTTTAAAAGATTAATTATTTACTATTTACTATAAGAGAATAAACATTTATTATTTACTATTTACAAAATAAAATCTGCACTTACAAATATATTATATTAATGAAATAATGCTACACAATAATAAAATATAGAAAAACTAATATGAATTGCAAGACATACATTTATATTATGCAAAACAAATGTATGCAAGCTGACAGACATAATTCTCATCTCTAGTTAAAAATATTAAGGAAATTAGAAAGTCTTTGAAAACATGGCATCGATGTGTCATAAATTAGAAAAACGTAGACAAACTTTCCACCACAAGAAATAAAAATTCTCGAAACAAGAATGATTGATTGTAGATTGAACTGAGTTAAGAGTAAACAAGTGGAGAAACTAAAGAAGTTGAAGATGATACGGGGTTAGTTCCAATCATCAAAGAAAAAAAATTACTTTCAATGATGATTTTGTGAGATTTGTTTCAATGAGATTTGTTCCAATCATCATATCGTGTCTTGAGATGCCCATCCTTTCTTCTCCAACTCCTGTCGCAGTGCCTGACACCAACCAACACATTTAGTGAATCATACAAAAACTGAACAGTTATGTGACATGATTTGAGGGAAAAGGAAGTTTTTTGTGATGCAAACCAAGAATTTTTTATGTAACCATAGAGAAAGCACATGATAGGAGGATAAAACAAACCATACCTTTATTCTTTTCCTATTCAGATCAAAATCAAAGTTTCCCAACCGAGATGCAGATCTATACTCCACAGTGGAACCCTTATCAGGTGGAAACCAGAACTCAACATCATCCACAAACTGTTAAAACAAGACAGAGAAAAGGAGAAGGAAATTAAAGATGGCTCTTGATATCAGCTAAAATATTTAAAATGGTTAATTTTCTTTTTCATGATGAGTTTCCTTAGATGTAAGTTACACATACCCCCAAGATTGAGCTTTGATACTCCACACGGATATAGTCTTCTTTTCTTTCAACTATTCTTGGTGTAAATTTGTCTGGTGTTGTTGACTCAATCTGTAAAAGCAATCCAGAACTGGTTTTTAACTTACATGATTGAGATTGAGAAAGTGCAAATATACAACTATTACAACCCAGTTATAAGTTACAAATTAGAAAAAGATTAGCATCATAATTAAAGTTTAGATCTAATTTGATCCTACAAAACAGACTCACAATTAAGATGAGTGTTATCTCCACTCAAATAGTATGATTTAATTAAATCACCAGTTAAAGAAAGATCTTCAACACTGTTTTTTATATAACTCTTTGTTATTAGTAAAATTTTATTAAAAATGTTCAAATTATGCAGGTTTCACTCCTAGTTGAATGAGTTTCCTTTGTAACTTTATAACTTTCAATAAATTGTAACCAAAAAACAGAAAAGAGAGTGTAATAGAAATAGTTAGTTGCAAAGTATACTACTTACTAACCCTCCATTGATAAATTGTTATAAATTATAATCAATGTTGACAGAGTAAAGGAAGGCAAAGAAAACTTCAATCCAATGACATAATTCATGATTTCAGTTCAGCTAGATTTTCTTACAACGTCTATCAGTTCCTCCATTGCTTCCTCTCTGCTCACAGGCTTTTTCCTGCCTTCAGGATTATAGTTCCTGAAAAAGAAGGAAACAAACTAAAACAAAGTGACATCATGATTCATCTATGTCCAATAATAAAGTTTGGAATTTGGAGGGACCATACACAATACAAAGACCAATCTACAGAAAAGTTACTTTTGTCTGATAAAACGAAAAGTAAAGATTGCACAACTTTCAGGCAGTTTGAAACGTGATAAATTGTTCCAAGTGCACTTTGTTTATTGCAACGTGATTCTCACAAGTATTTTATATCATCTTTTGCACGAAATCCAAAAGATAAATAAACAAATCCTGAGTACTTATCTCCTAAATTTGGCTCACCAGATTGTTCTCAGCACGCAAAATTTGACCCAACTTGTCACTTATCCAAAAATCAGGGCTCCAAAGAACAACATAATGGAAATACATCATCTTTGAAAATGTTTGAAAAACTTAATTAGACGTATAATACAAGTATTTTTGCAAGTCTAGATGTTTAAAATAACTTTATGATGTTTTTATGAGTTGTTTTCAGTTTATTTCAACAAGCATTTCAAGAATAGCTTGTGGAAATAGTTAAGAACCTGTATTGTATGAAAATAATTTAATCATAGTACCAACTTATACATAATTATCTACATTACGAGCACTTAATCCATAAACTGAACTAAGGTGTTTAAGTTGTTTATCTAAACACAACTAAAAACTTGCAATTAATTCACGTATTCATATAATCCCATGAAACCAATACTAAAATTAAAATGAGGAAAAGAAGGGAGGTTTTACCAAGGAGGAGCATAATGTGTGCGATCACTGATATTCTCAGAAGTTGATACACAGTTCTTAGTTGCTGGACACAGAGCTAATGCTGGTGGGTTTTTCTGCACTCCAAGATAATCAGGTTTTTTCCCACTGCATGCACCACCAAAACACAAAACCCAAACCAAATTATCTTCTTTAACAACCACCCATTTCCAACAAAAAGCAAAACCGAAACTAAAAATCAAAAGGGTCTCAATACCCATCAACAAAATCAAATCTTGAATTAAATTTACATTAAAACAATACCTTTTTTATTCAAAAACAAAGGTGGGTTACCTGAAGTTGATGATAGCACCAATGGTCGCTATTTCACTGCTTCTCAATATGAGTTCTCTTCAATATTCCAAAAAAGAATTGAAAAGTGAATAAATTTTAGAAGACGGTTAAGAACAGTCATGAACATCAATAGATAAAAGTAAGAAAAGCAAGAGTGCGAAGAACCTTCGGTTGATTTGGTCGGTGGGAACATCATCGTGGTGCTTCTGACAGAACAGAATGCGAGGAAAAGAGGAAGCTCTGGTTCTACCATTGTTAGGTTTGGTGCAAACCTTGAGGTAGCTGCAGAAGGAGCTTGAAGGTGTCGCTGAAGCCATTGTTTGGAGGAGAAAGTGACGAAGGTTTGAGAAAATTAAGGAACTTGGGACTATTTATGATCCGAAATTGAATAATGTGATACTTAAAATATTAGAGAAGAAGATGTGAATCATGTGATGAATAAAAGAAAGTCGACGGTGGGAATCTTCCTCTCAGCACCATTTTTTGTTTTATTTGGATTGGATATCAAGAAAAAAAAAATATTTGAATGTTTAATCAAGAAAAAAAAAGAGGGTTTTGATGTTAAATTTTTTTAGACTTGATTTAAATTGATGAATTCAGATTCAATTTTTTAAAATGTATAATTTTAGTTTTCTTTTATACTTACATCTATTATTTATGAATACTTTTCTATTGTTGCAAAATTGATAAAAAGAAAACTATATAGTATGTAATAGTAATTTTTCCTTTTATATGACAGTTTTTTACTGTCATAAACACATCAGAAAGACTAAAGTATACTCTTCTTAATTGTAAAGACTAATTAATCAGTTCTAAGGTACCCTGATGAAAACCTAGATTAATAGAAGAAGTAGAAGAAAAAACTTATATTAGAATACATATGATCCCATTAAAATATATATATTAGATATATATATAATATTATAAATTGAGCTGATGTAACTTTATAACATATCCTCCTTAAATCAACACTAAATTATATCCTATGTGAGTGAAATCATAAATTCAATAAATCTACACTTCCTTTTTAAAGATTGTTTTATTTTATAATAATTATTACAAAACAATTTTTATAAGAAATTCGGTTGAGGAATTTCTCTTCCTAAGAGGGAAGTCACGAAGTCGCACTCATAGAACTTTGCTTCTTGTGCAAGCTCAATCTCCCGCTCTCTCCTTTTCCATCCATTGCTGGAAACAAGGTTTCATTTTTACTTATTTTTCTATTTTGTTAAGAATTAGACATTAATAAATATCGATTATGAATAAAATAATATATTTATCAAACATAAAGTGAATTTTTAAATTTATTTTTCTAAAATGAGTTTGTAAAATTTACATTCATATATATATATATATATATATACTTATATTAATCTTAATATCTAATTAATAATTGATGTAACACTTTCAATACTTACAATTTTACTTCCCCTTATATGAGCTTCTGGTTTTACTTCAATATCACTCATTTTCCAGGAAAAACCCCGTTTACAATGTTATTGCCTTTCCCTTTGATATTCTAAATTTCATTAATTCTGAATGTATAAATTCGTTATGTTTCGGGGGTAAGGTTGAGTTACTTCCAACATCTATCTAATTTTTTCTTTGAGACCATTTGTTTTTCTACTTGAGTCTTTGTCTTTTATCTACCGGTAAGAGGTATACTTGTCAAAGGTTTTCCAATGTTAAAGTCAATAAGCTGTCTGTTCGGTAGCTCAATGTAATAATAATAAATTCACAGTAAATACTTTTACCTACCTCTTACCTTTAACCTGTATTTATAGTTTTCGTCGTGGGCTTGGGATTAGCAGAATCTTGACACGGCCCAATCCCAGCTCAATACCTCTAATCATTATTTACCTTAATCTTTGTAGGAATACCTGATTATGGACTTTCGTCGGTCGTTCATTACTGACCGTCCAACTAGGTTGATCACATGGTGGCTTTATGGTTGTCCGTCCCATACGATACACGACGGTCGTTCATTATCAACCATCCGGCTAGGTTGATCACATGGTGGCTTTATGGTCGTTCGGCCCATATGGTACACAGGCCCCCCGAACCCTAAGCAACGTAGTTAATATAGGGTTCTAGTTAGATTGCCCTCAGTATGTCATGGAGTGGCTTGATGGTCGTCCGCTCTATTTTGGAATGGCCTCTTGGCGGGAAAACACATGTCGTGTGCTCGTGTGATTTCAAATTTGAGTAGTTGAAGCGCCCTCGAATCTTAGTCATTGGACGTGTTGTTTTTTAATGGTTGTAGTGTCTCAGTGGTTTTCAAAAAAATTTCTATAAATAGGTGGGTAGGGACACTATCACTCTCACCTTTTCCCACTTCTTCTTCTTCTGCTTCCGGCTTAAAGCATTCTTTTTCCCTTAAGGTAATAAATGGCAATTATTGATGTTGTTGTTGGAGTTGTCGGGCAGAGGTGGTGGGGGTGTAGCGGACAATGGCGGTCGGTCTTCTTCTCCTGATTCAGTGTCGTCTTCTTACCTCGAGAGGTCCGACGGGGACAGGGACTCACGTCCTCTATCTCCTGTACACAGTGGGGAAGAGGAAGTAGAGCCCCAGTCTCTTGTGTATATTGCGGAGAGAGTGATTAACAGGGTAGCCATCCATCTGTTAAAGGGGGGCATAAATATCGACGACGTGGGTCCAGTGCCGGTTGATGGCTTGTCGACCGTTTAGGGTGATGACTGGGTGTCTCACGACGTAAGTCTCTATGTATCGGAATATGGTACAAAAAGGCATTTGAAATGGTGGGTGGACAATCTATGGATTGCTAGAGACATTGAGGACGCCCTGCTGTTACGGTTGGGTGTTAGTCGAAAGAACGAGCGGGTCTTTCACGAGAAAGAGTCGAGCATGAACGACTTCTTTTTCGTATACACCTACTTGTTTAGCCAACTTTTCGTTCGGGTGTCCTTTACCCCCTTTCAGTCGACCATCCTCCACGAACTCAATGTCGCTCCTTCGCAGCTGCATCCGAACGCATGGGCTTCGGTTCAAGCATTCGTAGCAATGTGCTCTGCCCTGGGGATAACTCCTACCGTTCCTATCCTTCTACATTATTTCGACGTTCGCCCTTTCGCGAAGCAAGGTTGGGTGACGTCTGTAAAGGATAGATATTTATTTAATCCCTTTTCTCATTCTTTTAAGAATTTTAAAGACCAATACTTTATGTTCATAATAAGGGAGATCGGTCGATCCGAATTCCATGAGGAGGCCGGACAACCTCTGTTCCCTCTTTATTGGACGAGGAACCCTCGAAAAATAAAGGCTTATCCGGTCCTCCTTTTACACCCGACTGACCCAGAGGCTGTGAGGATCATCAACAACTTGCCCCGCCGCCTCTCTGCCCGCGACCTTGTTAAATGCCTTGGCCATGAGGATTCTGACGAAGTGGTGTTCGGTATTGTATTTTGGTTTGATCGCTTTAGTTAGCGCTTTGATGTTAACTTACCTAAGATTTTGTCGTATTTTCAGGCATCATGTTGGTCGCAGCTCCCCCAAATCCAACGTCATGGCTTTCAAAAAGGAGACAGGTGGTGCACCTCAACTGCCGGTCGGGCACCTAGACCACGACCTCCCAATAAGGCGGGTGTTGCTACGTTGATTCGTCCGTCTTCATCATGGGCGGCGACAACTGAGGTTGCTACGGCCGGTCAACTTACTACCCCCATCATTTTTCTTGAACAATCATCTAAGGCGGCCACCACTTCGGCTCTTCCCTTAGAAAGAAAGAGGAAAGCCCACAAGGAGGGAGACAAGTCTTCCTCCAAAAAGAATCGAAAGGAGGGGAGTTCCACCCGGCCTCTTTAGGGCTAACAGTTTAGCACCGAGTTTAATGTTAGTCACAAGACTAACTTTCACATGAGCTCCCTTCAGCGGACATTGGTGGAGCCGCTCTCCGAAGGCGAAGTGACTAACGCCATGTTGGAGCTTACTACCCGGGCGTTTATGTTGGCGTGGTACCTCCGGGACTTTGTGGATCAGCGAGGTGCGAAGCATGTGCTAGGGGAGCTTGCGACCGAGAAGAAGATCTCTGCCGATCTCGGAACTGAAGTGGAGGCGCTTCGGATTGCTCATGGTGAGTGTGAGAAGAAGCAGGCCGACCTTCAGTCTAAACTTGATGATGTCAGGCTTCAATTAAGCCAGTCCATCGAGTTTTTGCGGGACGCTCGGGCCAGGAACGATCTCCTGGTCGAGGAGTGTGGCAAGTTGAAAGTGTCTGCCACGAAGCAGGTTGAGAAGGAACAAGAGTTGGTTGCGGAGAACGCGACCCTCCTTAACAAACTCCAACAGGCCAATGAAAAGATCTCCTCTTTGATCTCACTTACTGGGAATTGACGACCCGTACTCAAGGGGTTTTGACATCGAGAAGGATGTTATCGATGGGATATTGGTGCAGCTCGCATAGTCTTCTGGCGACGAAGAGATTCCTACCGTGACTACGCATTCGGTCAAGGAGGATGAACCGACCAGTGAGGATGATGGTGGTGCCGACGGGGAGTATTTTCTACATATTTAGGAGAATTTGGGAGGGGGAATATTTTGTTTGTTTTTTAATCTTTTGCAGCTTGGTCAGGCAGAAAAACATAGGTTTTGTTTAGTGTTTTTTCCAGCGACCGACTAACATAGGTTTTGCCTCGTCATCGCATTATTTTATGCCAAGTTATAAACGTTAAGCTTTGATGACTTTCGTGTAAATGGCCGTGGTTCTTTCTATTGTGCGCCTCGTTCGACAACCTTTTAGTTTCTACTGAACCAGGCGGTAGTGGTTCATTTATTGTACTCGTCGTTCACTGCCCGATCATGTTGACAGTGGTTCCTTTTGGAACTCTCCTTTCATCAACTTGATTTTTAGCGGAATCGGGCGACAATGGTTCATTTAATGAACTCGCCGTTCACCGCCCGGTCAATTTGACAGTGGTTCCTTTTGGAACTCTCTGTTCATAAACTTGTTTTTTAGTGGAACTGGGCGGCAGTGGTTCATTTAATGAACTCGTCGTTCACCGGCCGGTCAAGTTGACAGTGGTTCCTTTTGGAACTCTCCGTTCATCAACTTGGTTTTTAGCCGTTTAATAGGCTAGTCGTCCGGTTTAAAGATGTCATGAGAGCACTTGAATGGAGCATTCTATATACTGTATTAATAAAAAAGGAGGAATATAATAGATAGAGGTTTAACTGAAGTAAAATTTCAAGTGTGATGCATTCCAAGTGTTTGGGATTGGCCGACCGTCAGGATTCGCGAGGCTATAAGCACCATTCACAAGGGTTTCAGTGACTTTAAAAGGTCCTTCCCATTTAGCTGCCAACTTTTTGTGCGAGGTTGTTGATAACAGTTGAAAAACTGTTATTTTCATGCTTAAAATTGACACAAAAAGCAACATTTACACTTAGA